CCATTGATTCTTATAACGAATTCTTTAAAAAAGAAAGTTGCCAGAGATCAATAAATCCTTGGTGTATCTGGGTTCTGTGGCTGGAGGACCCAGAGAAACATTCCTATAGAGATGAAGAAGATGTGAAAAGGGAGTTAGATTTTGTCGCCAGGGAGGTGGGAACAGATTTATTTCTTAGCTATCTTGCTTGGAGTACACAGTTTGTGGCAGTGGCTTGCCACTGCTTTTCTTTACAAAAGAGCAAGATGTCCTGCTAAGAAGTGCAAAGGCCCAGGGTGCACCCATGCAGGCTCCCCCAGGCCTCAGATTGCAAAGTCCAGATATCTGAGTAAGCCACTTCCTAAGGGAACATCCACCTTCTCTGGGTATGTAGTCTCTTTGGGGGACCAACCTCTCTGCAACCTAAGGAACACTACTTTGGGCCCTCTGTGTAGCCCCATCCCAGGTCAGGTCTAGTTCCAAAGGGTGTTCCCAGGTCATTCAAGTGTACCAGACTTTGTACTACTTCACTCCACCTGTCTAGCCCCCACTCCACACACATTAAGTGATCAGCATCCCACACAGATGAAGGGCACTGAGTTCTTTCAGGGCAGTGTACCTGAGTGCACAGGCTTTGTGGCCATCAGAGCTAGGCTCAACTCCTGGTTCTGTGGCCTAGTAGTGTGTGTCTTTGGCTCAGTTTCTTAAGCTTCCCTTGCCTTAATTTCCTCAGTTGAGGAATGAAGATACTATGATCTTTCTCCTGGGGCTGAGAATATCATAAAATGCCTGCGAATGACTACATTTGCAGCACAGTGCCAACAATGTAGACTTCACTCCATAAATGACAGTCTTCCTCTCCCCCTCTGTCCTCCCTCTCGCCTCCCATCTCATCTCTCCTTCCCTTCCCTCTAAGGTCCTCCTTCATTCTTCTTAGTACTAATTTAAATTACCATGTATCCTAACCTACCATTGTCCAAACATTGTTCCTGCTATTTATTTCTTCTTAGCATGGAACCTTGGTAACAGCCAAGCCCTGGACTGAAACATCTGATCCCTCTTCAGGAAAAACAAAGAACTAGGCGTCAGAAAACCAGGTTTAGATTCTGATTGTGACTCATGGTTTGACTTTCTTTCCCCAACTTGCTTTCCTACTAAATGAAAATAATGACCTTCCCCTCTTTCTGGTTATTGTGAGTATAGAAATGAAAACACAGATCCAAAGGGCTTGCAAATTTGAAAGTGCCATGTAAAAGTAAAAGGTTTCTGTTGTTTGTTTCTACATAAATTTATATCTCCTTTTGGTTCACCCAGTCAAACTCAGTCTGCCCTGCCAAGATACCACTTCTATATCCTGGCTCTGGTGTTTATGTTTTTATCTATTTTTTGGTTCTTACTATTTCTTTTTCCAGAAAAGCCGTGAGACAGGTTCCTTGCTATTTCCAATTACCCAGGAAACATCCTTCTGCTTTTCACCTAGCATGATGTGAGAACATTGATCTGTGAGCTAGATTAGTAAGGTGCCCTCAGTGTGAAGCCATGCTTAGACATATACAAGACTCAAAGACTCCCCAATAGTGAACTAGGTATGGCTGTCCAAAGGCCAGGTATTCCATGCATCCCTAGAAGACCATCTTCCCAGACCTTGAATTCTCCTGGCTATCTGATTGGCCTCAGATCTGAGTCCTGAATTGTAATGATTTATTAGCTATCATTTGCTCCCATGTGCCAGAGATCTGTACAACTAAAGAACTCAGCATGCCTCTCTTCTTAGGATCCTACATGGGATATAAAATAAATGTGTAATAGGAAAGGCAGAAGATAGTAGGGTTGCAAAGGTGGGGAGAAAAAGAAGGGGAGATTGGAAAAGTTACTGGTATTCTCCCTTGATACTAAATTCAAGGTAGAATCATTCTTCAAAATCTGCAAACAATCAGCAGAGTTTGAATTCTTACCAAGTAGGCAATACATTCTCCTTTTCAAGAGGTTGCTGGATATAGTGGGGGTTGGTTTAGTAGGAAGTTGAGGGGTGTCTCATCTTCTCCACCCAGCTTCAAGTAGAGAACAGATAAGAGAGGGTACTGCTCTCTCGCCATTTATAAGGCAGCTGCCACCACAGCAAAATTGACTCTTTTCCCCTCCAAACTAAACAGTAGTTTGTCAAACAGATGAATAAAAAGAAAAGGAACTATTTTCCTTTATGTTAATAAATTGCTTTGGCCTAAAAAACATTAATCAATTTCTTTCCAAAGGACACATGCTTCTTGATACTCTGCTATTTGCCTGGCCTTGAAAAGAAAGTCACTTTCAATCCCCTTTAAATTGTCAAGACCAGTGGAGGCAGTTGCAAAAGGAGGGTGGGGTGCTTCTTAAGTCCCAGTGATTATAATGGAACCCTGTGGTGTTTCCATAGAAACACAAAGAGTACATTCTTCCCTGAATGTACATGGAGGGGAGGGATGAAGAGCAATGTTGATAGCAAGGTATGCAATTACTGAAGAGGGGTAGGTATGAGTGAGGAGCTAAGGCATGCAGTTCCTGAGATGGGGAGACAAAAGATTTAGTAAACAGTTGAGTGGGCAGAGACCATGTCCTGCATGAAGGAAGGAATTTCACCTGCTATTGTGTCCCATTTGCACAACTAGTCTGTGGCATAACTTTATAACCCCTATTTTCAACTAAGTTTTGAAAGAAAAGCAACCTACTCAAGATTACTCAGCTAGTAAGTGGTGCAGTTTCAATTCACACCCATATATGTTCCACTCAAGAACACTTGCTCCATCCTTTGCATTGGACTGTACTTCATATTGTGAGGATGAGACAGGATTTACATTCTGTCTTCCCCAGTCTCTGAATCCATATTTACTGAATCCATTTTCACTGTAAACAGTGAGGCGGGGCAGGCAGGAAGACACCCAACCAATGCCCAGAGACATACAGATATAGTTCCCAGTACTCCTCAATGTATGAGTCTGTGGACACCTCTGCTTACTTTTCTGACAAATCCTGGGCTTTGACTAAAAGAACCTCTAAAGCTTTTGATGTTACCTCGCACTTACTGAGGGTACAGAAAGCCAGGGATAATGTCTGCCTGTCTGTACAGCACTCTTCTCTCAGCACATACAGCACAGAACCTGGCACATGGAAAATGTTCAAAGATGTTCACTGAATGACTGTCAGAATACATGGTGCCATGCTTTGTGCTGTGTTGTCCATGCATTATATGGTGTAAACTTCAAGGAGAGCCTATGAGTAGGCACCATGTTCATTTTGTAGATGAGGATGCTGTGGTTTGAAAATGAGAAATTATTTCCTCAGGATCTCACAGCTGAACAGCTGCACAAGTTTTCTTTAAAAAACACAGCCTGTATTTCCTCCGTTGCAAAAGTCACTCAGCTAGGAGTGTGTCCCTGTCTAGGGGGCCAGAGAGAAAACAAAGGATGAAAGCTGGGATGACATTCTGGGTGAAATCTATCACAGCACAGAAATGAAGCCATTCAGAGTCCTCTCCTAAATGTTCCCCAAGCACCAACACCCCATTGGACAGGCCACAGAATAATCGACTTGGCTTTCTGAGTCATTAATCCTGCTCCATCCACCTCAGAATGTCCAGTGACAAGGCACTGACTGGTGGCTTCCTGAACCACATGTGATGACCTGGATTTGCCTTTTCAGCAACAATAACTTTGACAGTGGGCCTATGGGAGGTAATGTAAGGAGAACAAATGTCGATTTAATGATACACTTTGCCACCCTTCGGTCAGTCATGCCACTCCCATGCCAATGTAGGGTCTTTTTTCTTCCATATGGAACTTTTCCTCTATCTTCCTGCTGAACTGTTTTCATGACCCTGAATTTCTTTCAGTCACCACCCTCCTACACAGGCTATCCAACCTGGGCTTTCTGGGAACTCTGCTCTGAAACCAGGAAACACGTCTGAAAGTATAAGAGCCTGGAAGTGCATCTGGGCACAGGAAATGCCTCCAGAATTAAATTTCCAAAGGAGGACAGCAGACAATGAAGGCCAAAGGGATCTTCGTGCAGCTTGCAGGGATGACTACAGGGTCCTGCTTTCTGACCTGGATTTTCAGGTCCTGGGGAGATTTAGCCAAGATGGCAGGCAGGCTGACTGTTCCTGAACCCTCCTTCCCAAGTTTACAGAAGCACCTACTCTGTGCAGGCCAGAATTCCGGTGTCCCTGCTCAATCTCTGCGAACCCTGCTTCCCAGTGACATTGGGTTCACTTCAAGACTTCTGTGCAGACAACACAGCAGAGCTGTACAGTAATGATTCCAAACACACAAGTAAAACAACCCCCCAAAGAGGTGGAATTAGGAAATGGCACAAAGGAGCATGTTTAAACATGTCTATACTGAGAAGTACTAAGCCTAATGTAAAGCTCTCATAGACCCACCACTGAGAAGTAAGGCAAAGAACAAGACATATTGGTAGTAATAATGGTAATAATGATAATAATCATAGTAATAGGTGCTCACTCATATGGAAGGCTTACTACCTGCCAGGAACTACTCTGAAAACTTCATTTATATTCTCATGCTTGAAACATATTAATTCTAAAGAAAATCTTTGAGATAGGTGCTATTATAATGTCCAAGTTATAGATAAGGAAATGGTTGAGAATTTTATTTCTTTGTATTACTTAGACCTTTCATAATCAGCCAAGTTTGCAGGTAATATATAAAAAATATTGACAATTAGGGGTAACAGTAAGTGTAAGAGAGAGATGAGAGCAATATTTACTGGGGACACCTATTACCAGGCTGCCCTGTTTCACACCTCATTTAAAGTTAAAAACAACCCCAAGAGGAAGGCATTTTAAATGTCAATTTAATCAATGAGAAGCTGGAGGTTCAGAGAAATGGCACAATATTCCTAATGTTACACAGCACTTAGCATCTCTAAGCCCCTCTTCCATGTTAGGAGAAGATGCTGCCTTGGAGATGCTAAGTCAGTATGTGCTGGCTTAAATCTACTTTCCTCTTTTTCTCTCTGTTTTTCAGTGTAGAATATGATTTTCGACAGCAAGAAGGCAGGTTCCATGAAGTTTTACAGAGTCTGGAAGAAGTCGAACCAGTTGAGGAGGCATCTCCTCCCCCAAAATCCCTAGCAGAACCCCCAGTCCTGGAGAAACAGGATTTGAGACGGAAAACCAAGAAGGTGAAGAAAAAATGTTTTTGGTGGATCTGACTTTGTTGGGACCATTCAATAACTGGCTACCTGAGGTGGGAAACCACTGGCTATGGCCTTCCCTACTTCTTAGAGAAGAAGTCTCTAGACCTGCAAGACAGGAAAGACCCAGGCTGGTTTAGCTGCTGCTGGACCCCTGACCACCAGCCTCATCCGTCTGAGTGCCACTGCTGGCTGAGGACTTCATGGACCCCAGAGTGACCACTCGCTGTGTTCTCTGTTATACACACCAGGCCACATCCTAGTTTGCTGGCCTATATCCCTACCATGAGCAGCCCCCTTGGCGCTTTCCAACTGCTCTGTGATGCTAAGTCCTTTCTTCCCATCCTGGGTTCACCATCCCAAAGGAAGCAAAGAAAAAAATGCTATGCAGATCTGGAAGATAGAAGAGAGTAATAAGCAAATGCCCCCCCAAATAATTAAAGACATAAATTAGTGATTTTTTTAAATGGGGGGGGGGTAAGTAACACAATGGAAGTGAGCATGGTATAAAAATGCAAGATTATATTTGTGAGTTGGGTCATTTTTGGTTTTAATCAGTTCTTGATTGAGACCAAATCAAGGATTTGTCATTTCATACTATGTGAGACGTACAGTCTGCACCAGAGTACAGTTATTCCAGGAATAAGGAATTGTGACTATCTGGTGTGTCTCAGACTGGCTTGCAAATGGGTGGAGTCTGATTTGGGTTTGAACTTTAAGACTCCAGTTAATTCCCCTAAAGTATTTTTCATGAAATCCCATAGCCTGTCTGTCCTTGTCATCTCACCAGCAACATAAGCAAGATTAAGATAAGACACAACATTGGTTCTCACCCATTCATCCCTGCAACAGCCTTGTAGATAGGATCAAAAGTATATTAATCTATACATTCTCTTTCCCTGACCAGGCAATGGTCACCTGATTGAAGAAGCAGGACTGGAGATAAGGATTATATAGAGAGATACAGATATATATAGATACAGATATATATATATATATCTGTATCTATCTATCTATATACATAGATAAATAGATACAGATATATATATATATCATCTCTGTATCTATATATCTACATAGATATATTTATATCTGTATATGTATATCTATATACATATATGTGTCCAATTTAGCATTAAAGATCTTTCCTTCTCAAAGTCTGAATTCTTTTATCTGACTAAGTTTTTGACAAAATTACCCCAAACATGGGTCCAATCAACTTACTTAGCTGAATATATTACTAAAGTAATATTATTAACTAATTGCTACATGTTCTTGGGGATGAAAGTTGGTGGACAAGGGTTACATGTCTTCTCCTTTCATTCTCTGCCAATCTGTGGTTGAACTGATGTTGCTTAAAAAGGGATGCTAAAGCCATCAACAGAGACATTTCCCTTACCCCCTTTGCTGAAGACCAGGTGTCTATCTTATTCTTTGCACAGCACAGCATCTGTGTGAACACAGGATATATGAAATCCACTGCAAATTGAGACTAATTGAGCAAACCACTCTGACAGTTTCACCTCCCCCAGTCACAGCGCTGCAGTGCAAAAGCTATTTCAGTGAGAGCAGAGAGGGAAAATTTGGCAAGGAACCTCAGCTTGCACTATTTAAGTCTTAGAATGTCATTCAAGATGTTCTTGTTCTGTTTCTCGTGTAATGTTTAAACCCACAAAATGAGACTGGAATACATAACGTTAAGTTGAAATTAAGATAAATACACTTGTCATACTTAAGAAGCCACATTTCAATAAGATATGCTACCACTGGCTAAAAGCCACAAATCTTTCTGTATCTGCACAATCAACTCTCAGTTGGCCCCAACAATGGAAAAGAACAGCACAGAAGATAGTCCAATAGGGCAAAATCATTTGGGATCTCTTACATAATTTTATCTTGTAGTAGTGCTTCTATCTTAATTTGCATTGCTTATGCCAATTTTCAAATTAATTCATATTCTCAAGCAGCATGCTAGAATTAAAATAATCCCATTCCTGGAATTAAGAGACCCCAGGTAACAGAGCAGTGTGTTGTACATGCCTTTGGCAAAATGCTTGAAATTTCATCATTTTTGAATGGAGTGATAAACACCTGCTCTACTTACTATAACTGCTCTGTGCATGCTCCAACATCAAACAAGCAGAATGACCCTACATTGAGCTGGTTTATCTGGCAAAGTGAGCCTGGAATGATGAGGAAGCATCTGAGGTAACTCAAGTATGTAATACTTGACCCCAACATGTGTTTTCATACACATGTTGGGGTCTCAGGTAAACCTCGCCTGCAGTATGTGATAGTGGCATTGGTAAAAATTGGCAATTCTAGAAATCAAACCAGATAACATTAAATGATTCTATACCAAAGCACAACACAGTGTGGCTCGGGTCACCAATCTGAAAGCAGGAAGGAGGTCTTCTCTGAAAATTGAATATTTGAAATCATTATAAAGGAAAACTATTTAGTAAACATATTCCTGCTAAACAAAAATGAAAGTTTCTCTGTTAAAAGACACATGCATATACAAATATCCCAACTCTATGCTCATCTACTCATGTGAAAATGGCTTCTTTGTAAAATATGTCACATCTACCATGATATTCTACAGAAATGCTATATTTGAGGTTATACGGCTTAATGGAAATATATCAATTTAGCAAAAATTACTTTTATAAAATGGAAGGGAAAGAGATCAATACATCAACTTAAGTGGCAGGAGTTTATGTAGCTGCTTTTTCTGTAGTTAAAAAAAAAAATGTGTATTCATTATACTTGGAACTTACCGGCTCATCTATAGAGCACCTTCTTAAAGACTATGTACTAATGTAAGGTTTTGTAAATTTCTAAACTGTTTTAAATGGGATATTATCTTTTGCAATAAACTTACATATTTTTCCTAGGTTTTAAGACTTGATTACTAGCGTGGGTTGCTTTTACAAAATATAAATTTAAGAAAGACACATTAGTAGTCCTAGGAAAGGGGCTATTTTTCATTATAATCACTTCTATATGTTTCCCAAGGGAAATAAAGAACAAATTCAAAATTTAGTGCAGCAATGAACTCATGAAGTACCACATGTCCTGGGATCAAGCAGGAGATGTGACTCAATGGAACAAATTTTGGCTTCTTTTATCCCTAACATGACAAAAAACAATGTAATATCCAAAAAATAGAAGATAAAAATCAAAATAACTTTATCAAATTCTTGCTAGAGATTGCTGAGCGTTGAAGGAGCTAAGCTTGAGTCCAGCTCTCTTTGTTAAAAAGGCAGATTAGCAAATATTCAACATGTGCTAAAGCCACATTAACACCAAACACCTTTTCTACTTGGATAATTAGGATTTTCAAGAGAATTAAAAAGAAAATAATGTAGCCATCATATGATTCCATTCTTTCCACCCCTGCATTGTCTGAGGCACTTAAATGCCAGCTAATTAACAATTTAAGTGGGGGTGGGGAAAATTGGTTGCGAAAGGCAAGAACTCTTAGGTTAGGCATTGGTCTGCTGCCTTACATTTTTATGAGACCTCAATGAGTCTCTGATTGCTTTACTTAGAGTGAGGAACATAACCCTTGCCTGCCAAGGGGTCCTGACAATTGAAATGGGTGAGATCACAGCATAATCTCAGGCGCACAACAAGTGCTGAATAAATGCATAGTCATTCATTTGCTGAATGAAGTCAATTGGAAGAGGACAGAAGAGGTCTTCATGTGACCACAGAGGTTTTCAGAATCCAACTTATTAAGATTTTCTAAGGGAAAAAGGTGTTAAGGAATCAACTTTTTCTGGACATGACAGTAAATGTTAAGTAACAAAATCGTCAGTGATGCAGAAGAATATGCAGGCATAGAAAGCGCAGCATGGGGAAATGAGGGATGCTTGTTGTATGGAGTTAAATATCCCAAAGGCGAAAGATATTGGAAGAGTTGGGGTCCTGCCATTTCAAGCTCGAGATGATCTGCCAAAGGGCTCTAGCAATCATGTGGCAGAAATTGATTTTGGGAATTATGTGTTTGGGTGGAATGTGTAAGGATCTACCTGATACCACAGCCCAGGACAGTTGTAGGGACCACTGACATTAGACTGGAAACCCATTATACCTCCAGGTAAGTTTACTTATAAGTTGCACAGAGCCTTCAATAAAATTTTCATAAAGGCTCTCATTTCAAGTTACTCAAGGAAACTAGATACATGCCAAAACACATCTCTGCTTTAGTTCCATATTTCTTTCAAGCTCCAGAAACTTAGATATTTTATGGCCATTATGCCCATCAAACATGTTTGCAATAAAATGCACTTAAGGACCACATCCAACAGTGTTTGACTGGTTGAATGGGCTTATGTACTTTTATCACAGTAACTTCTTTTTTTAGATTTATTTACTTATTCATATAGAACTAGGTATAGGCCACAGGTGCAGGGGTGGTGAGAAGCTTCACCAAAGACAGAGTGGGGAGCAGAACAGGCAGATCAATGAAATACACTGCTGAGGGGAGCAGTGGGTAGGTCAGTAGAGGTGTGCCACACCATGTGTATCACCTCTGGGGCTGGGGATTGAACTCTCACTGAAGTGGCTGCAGCTCTGTTGCAGTGCTGCACGTTCTAACCCATTATGCCACTGGGGCGGGCCTGTCCCATCTTATTTTAACCAAGTTACAGTTTTATTTCCTGTTGAGCACACTTACCACTCCTACCACAAATATGTGATTCCTATTTGATTCCCATAGGACCCTCAACCCATGAACAATGATTTGTATGGTTTTCCCATTGCCAGAGGCAGTGGCATCCACCAAAATATCCCAATTGGTCTCCCCACACCTACTCTCTTTCCCTTCCATTATATTCTCTACAGAGCTGTGAAAGTCATTGCCAAATTTCTATCCGAAACACACTATACTCTGACTGAAATTCAAATTCAAATTGCTTTCTGATAAACTTACGAAGTATGGCCAAGTCTATGGACATGACCAAAGGGCACAGCCTGCTTCACCCATGGAAGATCCCAACATTAAAATATCTATGTATGCTTTCCTTCTCTCTAGAATATTCCCCATAATGCCACCCGCTCTGTCCAGTTCCCAGGTAAGGCTCTCCATGAGCACCAGAAATGATGACCCATGTCACATCAAACACCTCACCTGACACAGGGTCCCCTCCTGCAAAATCCTTGCACAGTTGTCTTTGTACATATTGCATCATTCTTTGATACAAGTTTTTTATTTTCATTATCCTGTTTTCATCCTATGATAGAAATCCTGCTTATTTTTGTACACCTTTGAATCTCAGCACTGAGCACAATGGGATTCAAAGATTTGTTGCTGAAATAAATTAATAAATGGATTTGATCCACTGGAGAGACAGCAGAAATTATGTCCAGTGTTTTTCTTTGTCCATCAGTGCTGACTTGAAGAAGGGCTCTATTTGCACTCCTGAAATACCCAGCATTCCACTGACTAGGGCTTTCAGCAGCTATCATGCCCAGGCTTCTAATTCCATTGTGGTCTCTAGGGCATTCAGGACCCAGGAACAGCAAGTCCTAGCATACTCTTCCACTGTTATTCTTCTACCAACTTTGTCCCAAATAGTGTCAGTCCAGCATAACCTTATTTTAAACAAATTGTTGTTATAATTAAACTCCAATGCAACTGCACATTTTGCCAAGATACCACCTTACCGTATGAGAGAGAAAATTAGTTTTGAAATTAAGGCAGATTGTTAACTATATTCATTGTAATGTTTCCATTAAAATGGCAAAATTTACTACTTGTGACCTTGGCCATTTCAGACAAAATGCATTTAAAGGAGACAGAGTCTGTCTAACTATAGAAGCATTTTGGGCAAAGCATTTTCTCTGACAAACCACAACTACAAAGAAAAGACAATAAAATCACACCATTGGATATTTTCTTCAAAGCAAATAAAAGTTTTATTATCATGATTGCTTTCAAAAATTCTC